AATCCCTTCTTCTTGGTTATACCCTTTTGCTACCAGGCGGGCCTTGTTCCTGATTCTCACACTGTTTTCCTCTTTCTTGTTTTTGAATACCCATTTGGTGCCGATAATGGTTTTTCTTTACGGCCGCGGCACCAGGGTCCACACCTTCAATCTTTCAAACTAGTTCATCTCTTCTTGCATCGCAACAATCCAGTCCGGATCATCCAATGCTTCAGTCATCTATGTAGATTCTTTCTGACTCAGAAAACATAAGTATAAACATTCATTGACTGATGCGGCTCTGGTACTAACTCCATTTGATGAATAACCGATTATCGGCTCTGGCGGATGTGCTTTTGTCCACCTTCTCTCATGAGGAAGAGGTAGTGGAGTTATGAATGGTTGATCAGGGTCAGTATACTTGTTGTTTTGTTGTGTCTCAGGAGTTTCTTGTGCTGTAGATTGCTCTGGTTGTCAGTTTGAGAAGTAGAGTGATCAGATGAGGTTTTTCATGTGCATGTTCATCATCGTTCGGGACAGGAGTATGTGATTCTTCTGATGTGGGAGCAGGTAATAGGTAAGGCTGAGCAGTAGTAGAAGTTGTAGCTGGTGATGCACGTGGCTGGCTGTAGAAGTGCTCAAATAAAGAGTCCAGTATCACATGCTCATCCGATCTTCTCTCTCTTTCCTGTTCTCATATTCCAGAAGATGACTGAGTCTGGTTTCCTTCAGAGATTGTTGGTTCAAATTGGAAATGCTCAGAAGCCATATCCGTCATTTCATAGAAGCTCACATTGATGCTCTCCATGACGGTTCTTCTTTCTTTCAAGTACACTTTGTAGGCTTTTGAGTTCGTAGAATACCCAATAAAGATTCCTTCATTTGCTTTTGGATCAAGCTTCCCCCGAGCATCCATGTCATTCATAATGTAGCATTTCCAACCGAAAACACAGAAGAAGGCAATGTTTGGGAGTCGCTTGAACACAATCTCATAGGGGGTCTTATCAAATCTTTTGTGGATCATGGTCCTGTTCTGGGTAAAGCAAGCCGTGTTGATAGCTTCAGCCCACATGAAGTGAGGAAGCTTTGATTGTATCAGCATGGTTCTGGCTGCTTCCACCAGAGTTTTGTTCCATCTTTCTACCACAACATTCTGCTGTGGTGTTTTAGCTGCAGAGAACTGTTGAATAATTCCTTGAGCTTCGTAGAAATCGGCCAACTTCTTGTTCTTAAACTCTGTCCCATTGTCAGTTCTGGCTATTTTCACATTCTGCTGCAGGTACTTATGAATGTCATGATCAGATTTGGATTCTCGTCCTTGGATCGAAAAAACTTGGTCCATGTGTAACGTGAGTAATCATCCACAATTACCAAAATATATTTGCGTCCATTGATGCTTTGAACACGCATCAGACCGCACAGATCCATATGTAGTAACTCCAGGGGATGAGATGAGGAGGGAAATTGCTTTGACTTGTGTGAAGCGCTCCTCATCTTTCCAAAATGGCAAGCAGAGCAGTGGTGATTGGGTGAGTTCTTCAGTACATGCATTCCTTTCACTAGCTTCTTTGAGGAGAGGGGACATATCGCAGGTAGATTTAAGTGTGAGAGACGTTTGTGCAATTGATTGTTTTGCTCCTGAGATGCCATGGACAAGAGACAAATGGATATGGGGGATCGGACTGTTTTAAGATCGATGGTGTAGAGATTGGTTTTCCTCTGACACCTTAATAATGGTTTCCCGCCCATATCCATCACACAGCATTGCTTAGCATGGAATCTCACCTCCATTTCCATTGTCACAAAATTGGCCAATGCTAAGCAAGTTGTGCTTCAGTCCTTGCACAAACGACACATTTCTGATCGTGACGCTCTCACAAATGACATCTCCTATTCCGAGTATAGGCGATGATGCATTGTTCCCAAACCTCACATTTCCTCCAAACTGTTCAGAATAGTTGCTCAAGAGTTCTTTTTGTCCAGTCATGTGTGACGAGCAACACGAATCAAGATGCCACACATGACTGGCCTGCAAAACAGATTAGTTTCACTTAGGTACTCATCGGAAGATGGGTCCTTCCTTATCAACAATGAACAGTTGTTTCAATTTTCTTTTAACTTGGGATCCCAGGCTGACTGTTTGAGAATCGTTTTTCAATTTTAATTGATCAGCCTGAGCCTTGGGAACCCATATTTGTTTTATTTTTGGAGCTAGGGAGATCTCAGATATGTGATCTTTCAAAATTGGTTCCTATGAGAGCCTTTTCAGATGTTTATTGAATTAACCTTGAGGGGATACTTTAAAAATGAAAGTTTGAATTTCCCCTCAACAGTTGTTTTATCAGTCTCAGGCTTTTTCAGATTTTCTTGAACAATCACAGGATCAGTGTTGTTAACAGTGGAAGTGGACTCAAAACAACAACATTTCATTACGTTAACACAATTCAAAGAAACACAGTTTGTACAACGATTGGTGACAGTTGTCATAGAAAGAGAAGACTTAGGGACAGGTCTACCATCATAACTAGTTATGGGTTCACAAGGGAAGGTCCTAGGAACTACGCATCTAGAATGATAAGTAGACGGCTCACTAATGCTCAAACTGGACTTATTTTTAACATAAAACAGGGCACTCGATCGCTGATTATTATTTCCTAATCTTGACTCTTCATCTCTCTTCCTTCAATCCACTCGCCTCTTTTCTCGACTCTTTTCTTCACAAGGTTCCCTGTTGGAGAAAGAGACTCAGAGTGAGCGGGAGAAGTCTTACAGCTACCTGTTGAGTTTTCTTTAAGAAAGTTGATCTCTTTCCTTTTCTAAAACCTGTTTTTCTTTATCAAAGGATTCTTTTAACTCACCAAACTTCCTCACGAGAGGTGGGATGTAGGCTGGTTTAGCACATGGTTCAGATGTGGAAGGTTCCTCTCCATCTTTCAGAGTTTCCTTTTCAGGAGTGTAGGTCAGGATTTCATCAGCAGGGGTCAAAGGGGGGTCTTTGGTTTTGTAATATGTTAACTATAGCTCAAAGTAATATGTGATTTGCATCTTGAGAATTGATTTCTTTTTAAATAATCACCCTAAATAATCTCTCCCTCAATACAACAAGATCCAAGCTTGAATTTTTTTAATCAACAATAACAGTATAATACTCAAAATATTTAGATTTTTAAGGACATGAAATATATATATATATATATATATTATATATATATATATATATTTCATGTCCTTAAAAATCTAAATATTTTGAGTATTATACTGTTATTGTTGATTAAAAAAATTCAAGCTTAGAGATATTATTATACAAAGTGACAATGATGTGGCAATTAAGTGTAATTGAAGAATAATTTATAATAAAAGCGTGAATGGAGATGCTTTTATTATAAATTATATTGATACTTTTTTGTTGAATAGATTGATATTTTGTTTTTATTCATTTATTTTAAACTTGAATAATCAAAGAAATTCATAATTTATTGCATTTGTCGTTGTCAATATTCATTAAAATGTAATCATTTTAAATAAATGAGGAAACGAGTTACTACGTAGTATTATGTAATCAGATTACAGTTTCAAAGGAATTCCCTCTACCCTAAAAGGTCTGATAACATTTTAGGAAAATAAAGGTAACAATGTAACATGTTTTAATTACAACAATAACCTTCTAAATAGTACAAAATAGTAACACGAGTTTATAAAATATATGAAGGTGAAAATCTGAAATGATAGATACACAAAGGGAAAGTCGATATCTAGCGAACTTCACTTTATGAGTGATAATAACTTCGGGATAACAAAATTAAAGTGATTATTTTTCAACAAATTAAAATGGGATTAAGGCTTGGATGTTGTTGTATTATTAACAAATTAAAATGAAAAATACTTCGTACTACGTAAACTTTATTTGTGTAAATAAATCTTCACTTGCCACAACATAGAGTAGTATAATTCACACAAATATGTAAACCTTTTCTTGTATTCCCTATCAAGTAATTTGTATCATATAAATGAGTAGTCATATCAAGTCCAAAACTAATATTTAAATAGCTTGAGACAAACATCACCAATATAATAACATTATCATTTGAACATAAAGTATGCGTCTATTAGTGATCTATAATCTATATTAAGTTGAAACAAAAGATGCACAATAGTAGAGGTGTTTAATATGTCCGAGTTGGTGATGCGAATGTAAACCCATGGGCCCTGGGTAATGAAAAGTTTGGAACTTGATCCGAACTACCCCGGAAGGCTGGGAGTCTATATCCGTGAAGACCCATGGGCCCAAGCTAAGGAAAAGTTTGGAACTTGAAAGTTTCGGGAAGAACTTGCATCTTTTGATAATTTTTAAAGTTTTATTAAGGGAGAACTATCAAATAAGCCTTCGAACTTTCATTAAAAGTGCAAATAAGCCCTTTTACAAGATGCTTTGTCCGGCTGTTGCCATTTGGGGCGGTTTCCGGTGGAATTTTTTGATAAAATTTTTTGAGCATCTTCTTCATTAAGTCTAGTTTACCCATACTAAATTTCAGCTAAAAATTCAATCGAGAAGGCAGTCAAATGATTTTCTGAAATATATTGCGCTGTCTAACTGCGCAGTTATCTTCAAAAATTCATTTGAATGCCTTCCCGATTGAATTTTTAGCTGAAATTTGGTATGAATAAACTAGACTTATTGAAGAAGATACTCAAAAAACTTCATCAAAAAATGCCACCAGAAACCTCCCCAAATGGTGATGGCTGGACAGAGCCTCCTATAAAGGGGCTTATTTGCACTTTTTATGAAAGTTCGAGGGCTTATTTGATAGTTCTCCCTAAATACTTTGAAGTAGAGATTGGATACGCATGAGTACTTCACTCTATGTTCTTAGGTTAGTTAGGTAACCGTATTTCAAAAACAAAAGTATCGCTAATCTATACTTCGTAGTTCATATCATGGTCGTTTAATGAATTTGGAGGCTCCCGTTCCAACTTCCAAATGGCGAACGGAGACCCCCTAAAACAAGAAAGAATAAAATATTTAACAATGAAATGAAAATAGACTAGATACTTCAGTAAAATACAAGTTTTATAATGTTTAAAGTGTACAAATTAGATAATCTACAAATTATACACCTTTTTAAATCTAGAATAATAATCACATCTAGAAAAGTCAATCTATAACTACTACTACATGCTAAATTTTTTAGGCCTCCTATAAAAGTGGTCCCTGGATCCAAGCACCTATTGCACGTCCTAAAAGACATGACGTGCAAAACCTAAACTTAACAAAACAGGCCAGAAAAGAAATGAAAATGTACCCTAGGGACAAAACGTCAAAGGTAAAATGAACTTGAGGTCATGTAAAGTTCGGGGTCCTATCAAGACGACCTGTTTGCCATTGTTGTTGGGGTCTGAATTATACTTACTCAGTATCAGAGTTTGAGAATTCCATCTGCTGAGCATCTTTTGGATCTATATCAGTTAATGAAGGCGGTATCAGTTGGTTTCTCAGCTGCCCCTTCCTTAGGTTGAGCCTGTCCTTCCCCTGGGCCAAGAATTGATATCCAAATTGAGGGTTAAACATATACTGTAGCAAAGATAACTAGTTAAAACTAGTTCACCATAAAAAACTACTAACCTTAGGCTTTTCCTTCCTCGTACCATTTGGTGGTTGGCTTGAATCATTTGTCTGTCTTACATGACTTGGCTGATTTTTCCGGAGCCAAATGTGTCCAAAGGATAATAATGCTCCCAGAAGCAAGATAGGCCCGATCCTTGGGTCCCCTAGGTAATCATGAACTTTATTTACAAAGCCTTTGATCTTTGGCTTTATTCCTTTGGTTGGGGCGATGATTGTTTGAGAACCAGTGGACCAAATAGAATCTGCTTCCTCAGGAACCAACTCTGGGGTCTTGGTTTTCTGAAAACACAGAAAAGTTACATAGGTAGAAGACCACTGGAGCACATTATAAACCATAGTATGATTGGATTGTTTGAACCCTGCTGTATCAACACTTGACAAAGGAAACTCATTAAAAGCTTAGGCTTGGGTTTACATGTAGCTTGTTTTTATTAGTTACTGACGGACTAGGCAAAACATATACATAGAAATCCGAAGGAAAATTTAAATGATGTCTCCCAGTGTTCTAAATTTGGGCTTGGCTTCTGCTAGCCTAATCACCCATTCACCCACGCTCTAAACAAAAATGATCTGGGAGATTAGACGATGCCTTGGCCAATTATACTTTTTCAAGGTTCTTTCTTGTTTGGTATTACATGAAGAATTTGCAATTGTATGAGTGAAGAGAACCCTTGACTAAAAGCATTTTTTTAGTCTAACCTGAATGCCAGTAGATATCATGAACAATGTATGGGCCATTGGAATGGCAAGGTATTCTTGGTTTTAAAGTTTTAATTTTTTATGTGATTATTATTTTTAGATCATTCAGCCTACATTATCTACATTGTCATTTTCTTGCTTCTTAGATAAGTTCTATTAATGGACAATGGCTGAAAACCACGCAAAATATGCCACAGGTCTGTGTGTCATCTAGGAACTGCCTAGATCCCCCATGAACACCGGAATTCTCTAACTCAGAACAGTATAAAATCAGTAGAAATGAACAAGAACAAATCGAAAACACTTTATTCACAAAGATGAACAGATCACAGAAGGGATACAATACAATGGACCATTCGAGATGCCCAATATCCTAACCTAGCCAAATCCAACTGAATACTTGCCTACCTATTTTCCTCCCCTCCCCTTCTATTTATACTACTACTACATGTACACTTACTATTATTATTATTTCTTATTATTACCCTACTAAGCCAGATTCCTATCAATACTCCCTCCCTAAACAACCACCTTGTCCTCAAGGTGGGTGATAGGGAACAGCCATGATCTTTCACTTCCACTTCATTCTTGCACCTCTACCCTCCCGGTACTTGACTGATTGCTGGACCTTTAGCTTCGTTATTTCCATCTTCTTCCACATGTACTTCACAGAAGAAATACACGGATGCAAGGACATGGTGGCATAATCCTCCTTAATGTTGTAAAGGATATAATATCCCAACATCTTCCTCTTTTGTTGTAATCTTGGCTTTTCTTCCGACATCTTTTTCAGGAACTTGATTCTTTCAGATTCTGTTGCAACACAGTAAACAGAAATTTCTGGTTTTAAAGACAATTCCACGAGGTACTCTATCTTGATGAGGACATCAATTACAACAGCCTCAATAGTAAAATCCAGATTCACATTGGTTCTACCCCACTGGTATTCTGAATTAAAGCCAATAACGTCACCATGATTCCTAAAATTGTCAACAACACCCATCTCTTTTATTTCATCAACTTTTTCTTCAACACTACTACGAAGAGCAAAATTACCAGCCCCTTTTAGTCCAAAATCTGAGGAGTCCAAGGATAGAAACATGACAATCTTGTGTTCATTAGCATTCATTATATTTTTTCGAACTGAATGTCCAATGTAGGCCAAATTTTCATCCCAGTACCTGTTGTGTAGCAGAAAAATAAAAATCAACGGGGTAAACCATTGCCCAAATAATCAACGATAAAAATACCGTTGCCCAGAGCCAAAAGGCTAAAACCAATTTTATTCCAAGATGAGCAAGAATGAACCCTGGCAAGGGGTATAAATAGCCTCTTAAGAGAAACCCTAATCAAGCCCAAACTAATTAAACCCTAATTCACTCAACTAACCATTCTACTAATAATAGGCCCAAACTAAAACATAACATTAACTTAATAATAATAATTAAATTGTAACGACAGCCCTAACCTGGCCCACGGAGGTGGGCCCAAGCTCAGTCCCGCCCCATGCTCTTCCCGCTCTCTATCAACCCATCCTCTTTCAAATAACCTTGTCCTCAAGGTTGAAATCTCACAGACGGGGAAAATATCCTTCCTCTCTTTCCTGAACCCTTTCCTGGCCAGTTATTTCATAGTACTCATGCTGTTGGAGGTCTAACTCTTCATCCTCCTTGGCTATCATTACCTGCAGCTGCTTAAAGGGACTGTCATGTCCCGATGTCATGCCCCGATGTAAATGGTTTCTTACACCTAAAGCATAATCCTTTCGCCCGCAATTCTGCAAACTCTTTCGGCGGAAGTCGAGTGAACTGAGAGCGTGTCGTGGGCTGCCCGGACAGCCCTGACTTTGTCCCCGGAGATTGTCCACTATCCTTCGGAAAGCTGCCACTTGATCCCTGTAAGCTACTGCCACTGGCAGTCAACGGTGGACCCGTGTTTGCAATTAAAAAGCTGCTGGAACGTACCCCTAAAGGATTATAATTCAAGCTGTCACTTCCTCCACTTTGGACGGACAGATTATGCTCCACATCGCGAGCTAATTCCATGGCCGTCTCCAGGTTATTTGGCAGTAATAAGCGCAACGAATTTCGGATTGCTTCCCCAAGTCCACTCATGTAGTAGCCCAACTAATGATCGTCGGTCAATCCCGGAACTTGGCTAGCCAATTGAACAAATAAGGTATTGTTATCCCCCACAGATCCAGTTTGTTTGACTCCTAACATCCGTTCAAACCTGTTCCCCTGATATCGGGAATCAAATCTGGCAACCAGGGCCTGTTTGAAATCTTCCCAGCTTATGTCGGGTTTGCGTGATCTCAGTCAGGTTACCCAGTAGAGCGCTCCGCCTTCCATAGCTACCACAACGGCAGCCACCTTCTTCTCCGTTAGGGTTTCGTGTAATTCGAACTGTTGCTCCACTCGAGCTATGTCGGAGTTGGGTTGCACAGCACTTTGTTCACAGGCGGCGCTGTCACCGCGACACTTCCGACTCCAGCCACGGCAGCGTCCGGCGAAACAGGTGGCACAAGTGCCTGGGTCAACGCGGCCAGCGAGGCAGCGATTTCTGCCAGCTTTGTGTCGTGATCTTCAAGCGTCTGGTTCACCCGGTTATGTTCGACTGCCATCTGGGTTTGCTCAGCCCCTAGTCGGGCCACTTCATGTCCCATGTGAGTTTGTTCGTTCTCCACCTCTGTTAGTCGATCGTTCTGAGATCTCGTCATCTTGGCGGGACAGGATCCGGCAGGTCAGACCAATTGTTGTGTAGCAGAAAAATAAAAAAGAACGAGGTAAACTATTGCCAGATAATCAACGATAAAAATATCGTTGACCAGAGCCAAAAGGTTAAAACCAATTTTATTCCAAGATGAGCAAGAATGAACCTTGGCAAGGGGTACAAATAGTCTCTTAAGAGAATCCCTAATCAAGCTCAAATTAATTAAACCCTAATTAAGCCCAAATTAACTCAACTAACTACTCTACTAATAATAGGCCCAAACTAAAACATAACATTACCTTAATAATAATAATTAAACTATAACGCCAGCCCTAACCCGGCCCACGAAAGTGGGCCCAAGCCCGGTCCCGCCCCATGCTCTTCCCGCTCTCTATCAGTACCATCTCTCTTCCTCATAAAGTACTCCTAAAGACTTCCTGACTTTACCTCTGTATTTTCCAGGAATGACTTTTGTGAACAAGAATTCACTGCTCTTATTTTCTTAGTATCCTTGCTTTTTCCATCCATATGTACAAGACTAAGAGAAGCAAAAGAACTAGGAAAATTTCCTATCATCCCTGCAACAGAACAAATTTCAGGAATATAAACCTGAACAACAGATGATTGTTCCTGGCGTTCATTGTCACTTTCGTTGAACTTCAAGTTTTCTGTATATTATTATTCTTCAATGCAACAATTACAAGAAGTACAGACCAATATATACAGGCAGAAACCTGGGAGAGTCTATTCAGTACCCTTAGGTGACTGTCTAAATACTAAACATAAATGCTTATAAACTGAAAAAGACAGCAGCTATTAATTACAACCTGAAGCATAATTGCAGTAATAATGAGGAAAATAGATCCTAGATTAATGATGTCTCTTCGTTTTATCAACACTCCCCCTCAAGCTAGATTTGTAAATATCCTTCATGCCTAGCTTGACAATAAGACTGAAACCTGGGACTGTGCAGAGGTTTGGTAAACACATCTGCAACTTGATCCTCTGAGGGTAGAGCTTAGTTCAATCAGACCTCCTTTAACCTTTTCTTTGATGAAGTGTCGATCAATCTCAATATGCTTGGTCCAATCATGTTGGACTGGATTATGAGCTTTGCTGATTGCTGATTTGTTATCACACCTCAATTTTGTTGGTCCTTTCCACTTGATTTGTAAATCTGAGAGAATAATGTTGATCCATAGAAGTTCACACAAGCCATGGGCAAAGGCTCTTAGCTCAGATTCAACAGATGATCGTGCCACAACATTCTGTTTTTTGCTTCTCCATGTCACAAGGTTTCCTGCCAGAACACAGAAACTAGTAGTTGACCGGCGGTCAACGAGAGAGCCACCATAATTTGCATCAGTGAAGGCTTGGACAAATAATTGCCCACCTTTCCTGAATATTATTCCTTGTCCTGGACTTCCTTTTAGGTAGTGTAGAACCCTATAGGCTGCTTCTAAATGCGGTTTCCTTGGATCATGCATGAACTGGCTCAAGACACTAACGCTGATACATTGATGAATCAACCTTGGATTCATCAGTGATAAGTCCAAGCTTATGATTAGGATCCATAGGTGCAGTAACCGGTCGACAAGCACTCTTACTAGTCTCATTTAGCAAATCTGTAATATACTTTTCTTGGCTGATAAAGATCCCTCCAGATGATCGAGCAACTTCAATTCCAAGAAAGTATTTTAGAGGACCAAGAGACTTCATCTCGAATTGGGATTTCAGCTGCCCCTCAAGACGTTGTTTCTCAACTGGATCATTGTCGGTCACAATGAAGTCATCCACATATACTAAAAGAATAGTGACTCCATTTGAGCGACAGTGTTTGTAAAAAAGAGTATGATCTCCTTGGCTTT